AAACCCTCCGAGTATGAGGGCAAAGAACGATTACATGCAACCCCATTTTAAACCTACGGTGGCAAATGAGCGGCTTTCAGAACTGGGTCACAGCGTGAAGGGACGAAATTGGGACGAACCCTAGGGGAGAGATGAGGGCTGGTTAGTTACTGCTTTCCTACGTCGCTATTTGAAATTGTATTGACTTTAAATTTCATTTTAATGCTATTCAGCTTCCAAGGAATTTGCCTAATGATATTGCTGGTGTTCGCTTTTGGAATACAAAAAAATCAAGATTGATTTTGATTGAATTGACGGAAAATCCGTTGTTAAAATGTTCGTTCGTGGTGATCATTTCTGATTCGAGTTTTGAAAATGTGTAAAACATTAAAATCATAAATTATGCACATTATCTGGTCAGGAGATTATTGAACATAATAATATATCGTTGTTTTTTTTTTCAAGGTTACAATGAGGTGTGTTAAACTGACACCTTTACTGGTACAAGTCGTTTAACATGACACGTTGAACATGTTGCGAACTTCATTGGCATGTTGTTCATATTCAAAAATGCTTAAAAATCTCATACCTTGTTGAGTAATTCGTACTTTTTCACTGATTTTATATTACTGTAATAGATACGTTAAAAAATATTACTGATTCAGGTCTTGATGTAACAGTGATGTGGACTAGAGAAATTCTTTTGAATATTTATAATTACTGTCATTGTTGAGTCTCACGCACGATGTCGTAGGAAAATCCGAGGACGAACATGAATGTTACATTCAACTTCCCATGTTTCTCTAAATTAATTAGTATGCAACGAAGAATAGTTAGTACTAAGGTACTGTATTCAATTTTATTCAACAATCATTACCTGGTTGTTGTAAAAAGTCAGCTCACGTTGAAAATTTTGAGGCCAGCTACTATAGCGTGATGTCGCAACAATTGTGTTTCGTAACAACTAATTTTATTTCATCGAATACGTGACATGCATTCGATAGATACTTTATTTATAGTACATTTTATTATTTATTGAAGATAATGTGCTGGACGTTGGGCAAGCTTGCAAAATTCAATGAAACATTGCATGCTTTCTGTGGTTTGCGGTACTTGACGTCTACGGTTTAAATGATTGAATAGCGCTAGTATACACATTTATTTTACAACTAGCTTTTGCCTGCGACTTCGTCCGCGTGGAATAGTGACTTCCGGCAGAAAAGTATAGATAGCTGTGCCCGCGACTCCGTCAGCGTGTAACTCCTTGTGTATTAAGTTAATGAATGGAGTAACTTCTCCCGTTTTTGCAATATTTCCCTTCACT